CTGAGGTGGTTAAGGAGTAAGTGGAAACTTTCCAAAGCATGTGTGTAGGCTGTTTCTGGGCTATGTGTGACACTGGGAACACTTCCGGATTTTGCTGCTTCTCAGTGGCTATTCTGCTTTTCAAAGACAAAACACCTTTTTTTGTATTGCCTTTAGGATGTTATTTTCCCTCTGACTTTGGCCAGTAATCCTGGGATGTCTACAATAGTCACAGCTGCGCTAATCTATACAGCTTTGCATCTCCTCTTTTTAAGCAAACCGTCTATCTGGGAGTATGCACCTTTAAAATGAATAGACTTCTGACAGGATTGCCCTGTAATTTGATCTTGAAAACAAATCGTTCCATTCTTTCATTAATAGCTTTTAATACTCAATAAGGTCTAGAATCTTTTTGAAAAGCTTTATTTTGGTTGAATAGCAACTGCCAAGTAATTAGTGTTATTCATGCAGCAGAGTGCGTGGAAGAAACTTAGCCAAAATGTTCTTGAAAAATATTACATTTCAGATGATTAAGGATGCTATTTTTTACTCAGTCTATATAAGGAAGATGTTCGCTTATGAATATTCTATAAGCAGAGTATTCTATAAGTATACATGCCTTTTCCCAAGGTATATATAATATATAATATAATATAAACGACAAGAAAACAAGTGCTGAAACTAAAGGTTGAGAGTTAAATGAGTGTCTTGTTCCTCCTCTTTCTCCCTCAAATGCTACATCGAATAATAGACTGCTGAATTTTGTCATTTTAGCAAATACACTTTTTTATATATAAAAAGAGCATTCTAAACAACACATTTACTCCCTGTGATTACCTTGGCAATTACTTGGTTTCAATTAAATACTAGAACATTACTGCAGTTGTTTAGAGTATTTGCTAAGAAAATATGTCGTTATGAAGATAGGCTTGCCGTGTTAACACTTTATTATTCAGCAATGGCTGATTGCATTGTCATCTGTGTAATTTGTCATGTGACATTTTTCCTTTCCAGCTGCTATCCTATACATCCTGTCTATTGTGTATATATTATTGAATTCAGTGGGGCTTACTTCTGAGTAGACATGTGTACGATTATGTGTTTCTCCTTCCTCCTCCTCCACATTTCTCTCATTCAGTAGTTGGAAGATGAGGTTTTCTGGAAGGAAACCTCTATGTTGGCATTTAAACCTAACAGCTGGAATCCCATCTAATACTTATATCTCTTAAAGAATATAAGAATGTAAGTCACCAGTTGCTAGGGGCAACCCTGGGTCTTTGGTATGAAAAGGGATGTCAGATAAGCTTCCAGATAACCCGTTGTTCACATCTATGACTGTAAATATTACCACTTTCACTCAGGATTCTATGAAGTCCACAGACTGAGAGATCATTGCCATAAACACATTTGGACAACAGCTTCCGTAGGCACACTAGAAATAGACTATCTGAACTGGACCAGTGTAGTTGGTGATAGAATCCTTCTCATGGTAGAAGCCTGGGCCACGCCTTGGAGACTCTGCATGCCAAATGTTTTAATTGTTTAATTCTATCAATGTTTAATTTTTTATAATTGTTTTTTCATCATGTTTTAGCTGTTCTTATTTTTATCTGTAAGCTGCCTTGAGTCCCTGTCAGGAAAAAGGCAGGACATAAATCAATAAATAAACAATGCCACACAAATTAAGTGTGAGCTGGGCAAATTTTGCCTACAATCATATGTTTGCCTGATATGTGTGACCCTTCCCTCCTAAACAGAAGCATCACACTGATCGGGCAACTAATATAGATGTTGGTAGCCTGGGTCACACATGTTATTAGTTTAGTTCCCAGCATATGCTCTCCCAAATTTCTATGGGCGATGTTACAGGAGGCTGAAGGTCTGAACGTGGCACAGGGAAGCTGGCAGCTGAATGTGGTATTGGAGGGTTTTTGTTGTTTTTTTAAATGATCATTACTGGATTTCTTTTTTTAATGACCATGTTATTTGCCTTAAGCTTTTGGATGACAGAATGAAGACCATGAGAAAGGATGCACATTTCAAGCTGGTATTTGGCTAATAGATCCAAATTATAAATAGATTAGTAGATGATCCTTTGACTTCTGTCATAGTTAGGAACCTTCCCCCCTCCCCCCATATCAGAAGAATATGCATATAGGGATTCTTCAGGGATTCAATAACTGTGAATTCTACAATAAGCTGACTTGACCCAGACTATCTGGACTAATGTGCAGTTGAAAACATAGTTATCCAGCAGCATTCACACTTTGGCTCAAGAAACATATTATAAAGCTTTTAAAATTATGTATCTTGAGAAAAAATGAGCCTAGAATACATAATTGAAAACAAATTTTCATGTTGATTTTTTAAAACACAAATTAATTCAGAAATGGTAAAGAACTCACATTTCTGAAAATGCCTTTTTGCATTCAGACTTGCTGAAAAGTTTTCTGCAGTGCTGTATCAAAACCTGCTTGTCAATTTCTTGCAACTTTCCTTCCTATGTGAAATAGGCTTCTGTTTTTCTGGCTCATACGTGGGTCATTATAGAATTTATTTATGACTTTGGTGGATGCAGGGTTGAGCACAATTATTACCTTTATTAGAAGTGGTAAGGGTGGTGTGTGTTTTGCTTTCTATTAAATATTTTCCCAGCACTCTGCAGCCCTCCCAGCTGCTTATGACTCGTGATCTGAAAATGCTCCACAGAAGTATTTTAAGTAAAATAATTATTTTTATTTAAAACAACAACAGCAACAACAATGACAACAACAGATACCTGCTGGGTGTAGAGTAAACAGTCTCCCTGGTTTGCTGAGCTTAGAAGAATGCCCAGCTGAGGATGCTGGTGTGTCAGGAAATGAATGCCCTCTGGAAGGCTGTAGAGTTCAGAGAGACCACAAGTGAGATGATTTGTAGAATAAAAGAAAGGGCACTCACAAAAGCCCTCAACCACCTCAGTAGTCAGGTGAGGGCACCCAAATCCCTCCCTTGAAAATATCACTATTAAATTATCCTTTGATAATTCTCAAATGCACTTTCTTTTCTCATTAATAGATGGAGAATGGTTAAAAAAAAACAATGACAGAAAAATCACTAGTTCTAATTTCCACTTAGATGCTTTATGTGCTTGTCTTAGTGAAAGTTTTATCTCTAATAACAAGTACAAAATTAAAGCACGGGCAACAGCAGTGCCAAGCACTCAATTCACTAACTGTTCTCCTCTTATCTTAGCTATAAATTAATATGGATCTTCCTTAATTATTACAGTAAAATTACAATCTCCCCAATAGCAAACAACAATTTCTGTACAATTGATCTGTTAAATGAGAATCAGGAAATAGCTGCATTGCTCATTGGCAGCATATATGAGCATTTGTGAAGCCTCCTTGATCCTATGGAAGACGGAAATTGAATTCCATCATAAATATAGTAGATTGGGTGCAGATTGTGACTGTTAAAGAAAGTAATAAACCAAGTATTGATCAAGAGCCACATAAAAGTGCAACTATCTCCTACATCAGGGGTCAGCAAGGTTTATCTTGCCTGGGCTGGATCGGTCCCGCGGAGATCCCTCCATGAGCTGGATCACATGTGTGCCCATGATTTTCAGCATCTGCATCTGCGCAGACATGATTTTCGGTGCTGCGGAAGTGAGTCCCTGCACCACACTGCGTCAGTTTAGCACAGCCTGAGAGCAGGTGGCTCAGTTCAAGGGCGGCTCGGGGGCCGGTCAAACGACCTCTGCGGGCCACTTCTGGCCCATGGGCCTTACGTTGCTGACCCCTGTCCTACATGCAAGGGGTTGGGGGCTAGACTTTCTGCAGCATAATGATCCATGGGAATCTGCTTCTGAAATGGAATAGAATCTTGATCACCATTTGAGCACACCAAAAGTTCCAAGGCCCCTTCCCCCAACCCTTCGCTTCCTTTACACAAATGGCCCCAGTCAATGTAACGTTACGTTCATAGCTTTTACTAGGGAATAAGTCATACCACACACTCTAATAATTACCGCTAGCAATGGCAGAGAGACATCTGCCAGGGCATTAGGGCAGCCTCTCTAGACACCTCTTTCCCCAAGTGTCAGCCAGTGGTTCCACTCAAGAGCTCTCTGGCCAGCAGTTTCTTGTCTGGAAACCTTATCTCTGCCTTCTCTGGCACCAGCAAGGAGAAGGAAAACCTCTTACTCTCCCCTTCCAGGATAGCCCTACCTCCTTGGGGGCTGAGGCAAAGGAGTCCACTGAAGGAGGTCTGCGTCAGTGCTTGCCTGCTTCAGGAACTCAGGAGGGCTGCCATCTTGTAGGAAACCTTGGCTTAGGCAGTGGGCGTGTATCCCTCTCAGCCCCTCGCTGGGGGTCTGAGGCAAGACAGGGTCAATTGGGACTATGGGGACACTGCAAAATGTGTGTTTGTTGGCCCCCTTCCTGTTGCTGAGGGGAGCTGTGTGGCCCACTGCTGTGCGTTTGTGGTCAGAGACTCCCCTCTAACATGGAACCCTGATATCACCACTGCAAAAGGGGTGAGTCACCACACCAGCCCTTCTTCGATTGCTGGACTGAAGGATTCTAAAGGCCTAAAACCACCACCCAAGTACCATGATTTGAATGCATGCAGCATACGTAACATACAATACACACGTGTACATGTGTATGCCTGTATACAAACAGCACACATAATGTTTAGAATATCTGTCTCCTTCCATAATATTAAAGAGTCAGAGTTGAAAGGGGAGCCCGGGTCATCTAGCCCAACCCCAAGATACACAGATAACTGTATATTTAGTTTGCATGCATACACACATATCAAACACTATACATACACACATGCACATGCAAACACATATAAGCTCACGCATACCCGCCTATGCCTAGAGTGTTGAGACTATCTGTGTCCCTTCTTAAAATTATAGCAAGAGTTAGATGGGGCCCCTCGATAATCTAGCCCAACCCCCCAGCTCACCTTAAGTTGGAAGGGACCCTGAGGATAATCTAGTCTAACCTACTGCAATGCAGGAAATATGCAACTGGACCCACACAGGGATTGAACCTGCAGCCTTGGCATTACCAGCACCATGCTCTAGCCAACTGCGCAAGCCAGGCAGCATTAAGCTATTTTTGCCTGTAGCGGCAGAAATGATACGTTATCCTTTGTGGGTATCAGTAATACCCTGTGTATGGCATAATTAGTACCATGCTCCTACTGTTGAGCTATCCTGCCTGCAATGTCGGGTGTGCGGTTGTTCCATATGGGGAACCACACACCCATGTTTTACAAAGGATCATAGAATTGTAGAGTTTGAAGGGACCACAATGGTAGTCTGGTGGCCTAACTCCTTGCAATGCAGGAACCATTTTGCCCAGATTAAGAGACTCATAATGCCCAGACTGAGCGCACATGCTAACACCATACAGGTATGCAAGGAGCAGATCAGCACATCTGTCTTTGACCATTGATCTGTGCTGCTAAATGGAGCGCTTTCTATACCAGCGAAATTCACCCATAAACCTCTTGCTAATAACAACATGCAAACCCCACTCTCGCAGAAAAGCACGCATTTCCCAACCATATGAGCATCCAGTGAGGGTACTGCTCTGAAAGAAAACTACTACTAATTATAACTAATGCTGTAAAAGTGCTTATTATAATGTGCCGGCCAAGTGCATGCAGTACTGATAATTAGCTGGGGCAACTCTGGCGATTGCGCCCCTTGCCCAGCACTCCTCTGAAATGTATCCACTGCAGCCAAAGCACTAGTTTTTTCAACCCTTTCAAGAGCTGAATGATCCTGAAGTGGCTAACTCCAGCACTTGGCTCAGGTGAGCTGTGCCTTGCCACTGGTACTCTGCCCTTCTGAGGCCACGCTGCCTACTTGTCCCACGACACACCTCTCTCTGGGTCTTCTTCAATGTCCTTCTCTGATGCGTCTCTGGGACTGACTGCGCTGTGGGGACTTCTTCTTTCCATTGTTGGGCTAGCCTGTCATTTCACAACCCTGACCCTTATTTGTCTCATGAAGAATAAATACATAGCCATAATTTGTTTGATCAAGTATGGCTTTGCATAAATATATTCCAGCTTCTGTTGTATGAATGATTCTATTCCATAACTAGCATAATTGGCATTACTTTGAAATATTTTATTCAGAGCTCTTCTGTTTCAGAGACTCATTATGTCTTATTTCCCCCCTCTAATTAATACATCTTATTCTTCAAGTATTCCCATATGGTGACATATTGTGATAAATGACAAATGAATTTCTAAAATATCATTGCAAAAAATTAATACATATTTAATTTCCAATGTGTTTGAATATGTGAAGTAAGACAAAGAACTCAAAAAACCATCTTTAGTACTGCTACTCTAAACATCCACCATGTTCTCACCAGCCAAATGCTATACAAAGCATAACAAAACTGAAAGCCAGGTTGCTTGCAAAACAGCTTTTGTGTTGATTGCTCATTGATGTGATCTTTATACCCTAAACCTAAATATTTGAGCTGGCATGTTTATGTGGCGCACCCCTGCCATGCTAGCATAAATACCAAAGACCCTGATATTTGTTCTTGGCTAGGAATGCCTTCTCTCTGACTCAGCTGGGTTAACTTGCTGGTACTATTGTTGATGTCATGTTGAGGTTGTTCTTGAATAACCAAGACCAGTAGTAGTTATAGTTTGAACTGAGACACTAAGACCATTTTCACAGCTCAGCCATAACTACTTGAAATTTCCCAGGAGCACTCCTGGCAGTTCTAAAAACTACCATCTGTTTTGGTTATTCTTCAGCACTTTTTGTCCCTTTTCCAGGGACAGTCTTGGAATTATGAAAGACGTCCAAACTCCTGGTTTGATCCCAGAATGTCCCTATTTCCCATGCCAGTGCTACTGCCACTGAGCTCAGGGTGGAGGATGGGCCGACAGTTGTCCTGAGCAGCAGCAGCATCCCATGGCCTCTCCTTGGACTCTCAATGGCCACTGATTCTGGCCTCCTACCCTGGGCAGTTCATAGCAGCTTCTGGAGAGCAAGTGAGGAGGAGGAGAGGCTGTGCCCACGAAGGCCCAACCCCTGTGACGTGCCAGCTCCGAGGAGCAGGCAGAGGGCAGGGCTACCTTGAGCGGGAACAAAGGGGGGGGTGGAGCAGAGCACAATGACTCTTTATTTAAAAAAAAAGTTTTGTGCATCTGCATCTAATCTTGTCCTTTCTAAAATGTATTTTTGGGTGTGTTTTTCTTTTTGTAAATATACCATAAAATAAAATAAAATCAGGATTAAGGGGTTTTCTCAGGGCTGTTTGAGAGTTTGCTGTGTCCCATTCATGTGATGATGGTGGCACTTGCCCTTCTTCTGATAGGAAATGCTCTGGGGGGGAGGAGGGTCACAAAAACATGTGGGCTTGAGGAGGGGCAGTTGGAGAAGGAGTGAGAAATGTCCGTATTTTCACCGAATAATTTTGGACAGTATGTGTTTACTAGTTCATTGCTGTTAACTGGTTTCAGCAGGTAACCAAAGTTGATTGATTATGAAACTCTGTGATGTCATCTTGTTTGTGAAATGTTCCCTGACCGGGTGTGACTAATCCAGGAATGAAGTAGCAGCAGCAGCCAGGAGAAGCAATGGTAGCATACCCAATTTTGAATATTTGTTCAAGTTTTGAAGGGAGATTTCTACCCCTTTTGAAACAAGTAGATTATTATTTTTTACCTATCATGTCTAGTTTATGCATGTTGCCTTGAATCTTCACTAGCATAGTTAGTGCCTTCTCATTCAGAAGCCCCAGCCTTACCTTACTGTTGAGATTGGGGGCAAATAGGGGACACACTATATAGTCTTCCTTTCACAGTACCTTGAAAAGTATTGGAAGAGACATTCTTGTATTACAGCTTACGTTGTGTCCTCATGAAGGACTGACTTTCCTTTTACAGCATGCTCTGTTTCAGAAGGATAATACACTCAAGGGGTTAACTAAATCTTGTTTCTATGGTGAAGAAAATAATTGCTATTGATTAGCAGTTAGTGCAACTTCACTAGAAAGGTTATGAAGGCCCTAAAGTACAGCTCAATGTGGGAACAAACACACTGTGTACTTCCTCCTCTGTCCTACACTATCTGCTCCTGAGCTGGAAATGTCCTCTTGACTTTGCTTACTACTAATCTCTGGAGTTTTGCTACGCTTAGCAAATAGAAAACCTTAAAAATCACTTTCCTACTTAAATTTTGAGAGGAGAGTATGGGGATTGCCAAGAAGGGCAATTTAGAAAGATCTTTCTTTCTGTATGTAGGTGTGTGTCTGTATCTGTCTGTCTGCCTAACTGCCTGTCTAAAATCTGACAATCTTTTATGCAGCATTATTAACATGTGTAGTTATTAAAGGATGAGAAGAACTGGGCTTCCTGGTACTCTGGAAAGCTGCAGGCAATGAAACAGGAGGGTGGAATGTAAGTTGGTGCAGATCTTGATATGAATCTGGCTGAGTGGTGGAGTGATGTGGCAATGCTGGCACCAAAGAGGATGTACATCTCTCCCACCATTGCATCCACTGCTAGTCATCCAGCAAGACTTTTGCAAGCAATGAATGGGCTGGAAGATGGAGGTTACAGAATTATCAATGACAAATTTGAAAAGCCCAGATTCACACAGAATTGGATACCACAGATAGAGCTCATCCTATGGATGTTTCCACAGCACAATCTATTCAGATTAATTCAGTTTACGTTAATTGAGGCTAGAGGGTGTGGGTGCTGCTACAGCCACCTGCCTTGGGATTGGTTTCTTTTTCCTTTTGTGTGGATGGTATTTTCACTCAGTGGATAATTTATCATGTAGCTGATGAAGTGGGCTTGAGCCCACAAAAGCTTATGCCATAATAAATTTGTCAGTCTTTAAAGTGCTAGGATGTTTTCAATGAAAGGAGATCTCAGTAGTTTGCATTGACACAGATATGAGTCCGAAATGACAATTGAAATTCCAGGCATGTGGGCCACGTGAGTAATGCGAAAATATTTAAGACTTTGATGGTTAGATTGAATACAACAGAGCTGGCCTAGGCAGTTCTACTGTCAGTATTTTGAAAGTGGTTTCATTGTTAGTACACATGCCATAGATCAGGCATAGGCCAACTTGGCCCTCCAGATGTTTTGGGACTACAACTCCCATTATCCCTAGCTAACAGGACCAGTGGTCAGGGATGATGGGAGTTGTAGTCCCAAAACATCTGGAGGACCGAGTTGGCCTATGCCTGCCATAGATTCATTGTGAAGGGCACATTGAAAGTCTGACACAGTGTCATCTTCTGCAACCTGGTTCCTCTGTTCCACAGTAGCTGATCATGGAAAAATATTGTTCTACGCTTACTGGAACTGGTTGGTTGTGGCTGATAGTGAATTCAACAAAGGCGATGCCATGCCCCTTCAACTGAGCTTTGAGCAGTGAAGCTATGGATTATGACCAACGGTGCTTTGTGGGATACCTAGTGAGAAAGTAAAGTCTCAAAAAGTTTTACCAGATGGCCATTTAGCAAGGAGTGGAGTTTTTTCCAAGGTCATCCAAAGTGTACATTTTCTCATTTATGTAATTGATATGTTTGCTTGTTTCTGGCTTTTTCTGAAGCTAATTTTGACGGGACTATATATGCATTTATGAGAACAGAATGAAACACAATCTGTTTTCAGAATTCTGTCTCTTGTTTCTTTAAACACCTGCTGAAAACAAAATCAATGCATGTGAATAGTGGGAAAACAGCAGGGAGCTGGAAATTATGAAGTAGTGCAAGATCATATTAGCTGTAGTAAACATACTGTGCCCAAGCAAGGTGTATATGTAAAATGTGGGTTATTCAATTTCTGGACAAATTATGTGGAATTGATTTTTTAAAATCACAATGCAATTATTATTTTGAAACAAACCTGTTGCAAAGAAATAGGGCATCCAAAACTCAGCTTAATTAGTGTTTTCTTTTTAAGTTCCCTTTGGCCAGTACTTCTTGTCTTTTCCCAGCATTTTCCTCATCTTGTACAATTAAGTCAGTTGTGATACAAACATTCAGATCGGCATTATACTGCTTTGGTCTGTGCTTTAGAATTGGGAATGGCGTATAATTAAGCC